CTGGTATTGTCAAATCATATACACTCAAAAAAGATGTCTTCTATTACATCTCCTCCGCAGTAGTCGCATATGGGTTCGTGTTCGTGTTTAAATCGGTGAAGGTATACTTTGAAGCACCCGTGTCGAATTAAACAATTTGTCAAATAGAAATAGACTTTGCCGTTTAATCTACTACATTTGCGTGTATAAATATCTATGCACTCACTATCACTATGCGCGCTCCAATTGAAACATTCACGATTGTAATCGTATTGTAATGTATGAAGACATTTGGTGGTACAAATGTTCCAGTACTTTGTCTTTAAGGACTATGGGTTTTAAGACCCTAAAAAAGGAACAGTCCAGCGCCTTCGCCTTGGTCTGCAGGCCGTATCGGAGACACAGCCGCTAAATTTAAACGTAGAATACTTGGTATGGTTAAGAGCACATCCAAGTCAAAAAGCACGATAGCACTTTATACTAAGAAAAAAATATCGATAGCAAAAGCGATAACAATGTCGATAGCAATATCGATAACAAAATCGATAACAAAATCGATAAAAATATCGATAAGTAAATCGATACAAATATCGATGACAAAATCGATTAAAATATCGATAACAAAATCGATAAAAAATATCGTATATTATATGGATAAGTTCCGAAAATATCGATAGCAAAATCAATAACAATATCGATAAAAATTTCGATAACAAAATCGATAAAAAGTATCGAAAACAAAACCGATAAAATAACATCGATATTACATCGATAAGTCCCGAGAATTCCGAATATCTCTAAAATCCTGAAATAGTCCCCAGATTGCGTCTCTGTCTATATCCTTTTCTCTATAATTACCTTTATTTTATTCTTTCTTCCTCTATCATCATCTTTACTTTTATCGGTATCCTCATCCTCACATTTTTCTTTATATTTATCTTTGTTTTTACTTTTATGTTTATCATATTCTTCATCTAAATATTCCCCTTCACCTTTGCCTTTTATAAATATTACCATGATGCAATAATACAAGGTGGTATCAGTTGTGACAGCTCGATTTGACACTGCCTTAGCTCAGTAGAATGAGAAGAAAAACGGGAAGAAATGAATCTCCATATGGGGGAAAAATATAAAATTTCACATTTTCTCCTAAGCAAAATTTGCTTTTTTATAGTATATTCGTTATGAAATGAAAGAAAATAAGATAAAATACCTTTTTAAGAAAACAAAGTGTGTATACTGAGAAAAAATTAAAAACATTCAACTATATTAATGGGCAAAGAATAGTTAAAGAAGTAACACTGTTTCACGTAAGGCAGTCAATATGGCGGAATTAGAGCGAGAAGTTGCCAACTGATAACACCTTGTATTATTGCATCATGAAATATTGTGTCATCTGTTATTCAAGNCACCTTTGCCTTTTATAAATATTGCCATGATGCAATAATACAAGGTGGTATCAGTTGTGACAGCTCGATTTGACACTGCCTTAGCTCAGTAGAATGAAAAGAAAAACGGGAAGAAATGAATCTCCATATGGGGGAAAAATATAAAATTTCACATTTTCTCCTAAGCAAAATTTGCTTTTTTATAGTATATTCGTTATGAAATGAAAGAAAATAAGATAAAATACCTTTTTAAGAAAACAAAGTGTGTATACTGAGAAAAAATTAAAAACATTCAACTATATTAATGGGCAAAGAATAGTTAAAGAAGTAACACTGTTTCACGTAAGGCAGTCAATATGGCGGAATTAGAGCGAGAAGTTGCCAACTGATAACACCTTGTATTATTGCATCATGAAATAATGTGTCATCTGTTATTCAAAAGCCGAAATACCTACACACACATACTTTTTGTCTCCTTCTCTCACTTTCAGCGCATGCACGTTTTTGCAAAANAGCGAGAAGTTGCCAACTGATAACACCTTGTATTATTGCATCATGAAATAATGTGTCATCTGTTATTCAAAAGCCGAAATACCTACACACACATACTTTTTGTCTCCTTCTCTCACTTTCAGCGCATGCACGTTTTTGCAAAATGATGACTTAGGGCCGGTTGTTCAATGTCTGATTAGCACAAATCGGAGGTAGAAGCTCCGGTTAGATACAACGACTGCTTTATCGATCACATGTTATATGCATGATGTCGAAATCGTCGATAATGATGTTTAACCGGCAAGTAGTGATAACCAGACATTGAGCAACCGGCCCTTAACAAAAACAAAATCATTCGAGCGGTTTTCGAGCATTTTGGTATTAAAAAAAATTTGCAAATTTTTTCAAAAATTGTTTGCCTTTAAATACTCGGTATTTGTTGAGTTTATATAAAATTTGTACACGATAATGTTTTTACTGCTCCAAAGAACCTATATCCCGAAAATGACAGTTGTATCTAAGTTGCTAGAGCACTTTAAAAGCTCAAAATGTACCCCTAAATAAGCCAATATGTATTTACCGTTGTATTTACGACAGACATCGAATCAGTTACTTACATAAATGTATCTGTCGATAGGCTTGGCACACTTTTCTTTGAAATCGCTTCAATATTTCTCGTGCAGTAAGCGTTTTCGTGAAGCTCTAAAAATTACAGCTACAACATTTCAGCATAGCATCCATATCGAAACCTAAGACGTATTCTACATACGTCAAGAGTCCCCTTTATTATCAAAATCGTTTTATTAAACGGTATGGTGTTCAAAAATGTTTGCACAAAGCTTTCATGAAATTTCATGATCTTAAGCACTTTGGTTGTCGAGATATTTACACTTACCCCTGCCCCTACCTGGCTACCTTGACCCATGTTGTAATAATTCATTTCCCTTATATGAATTTAATTGCTAAATAGGTGGCAACCCTTACATGTTCTAACCTAGATATTTATAAACCTTCTCCTCGCCGATACAATCAGGCCGCGAGACCATAGATTTTATTGGTGACAAACTTTATACTATATTTTATATTACATATGTACATACATACATATGTACATAGATTCATATATGGATATACTACATCTAGTAAACAACGTGTTAAACAATTACTAAATGTACTAAATTAACAACAGGGTTTAAGCTGGATTTGTATATAGGATGATTCTGCAGGAACTTGCTTTGATTTAATACAAACGCCTGTTAACATAAGTATTGATTGCATATTATTTGCATATACAAATTTCATAAATACCGATGTCTAATCATCACTCTCATTATCATAATAATCCTCATCATTATCTTCAGCACTGTTTCGGCATCAACATCATCACTTAACGGAAGTATTACACTCAAAAGATTTCTTCATAGAGCAGATTAATTCACCTACGTTCCCAAGTAATATAATAAATTAGTGAACCCGCATAGCGTCAAAACGCCCAAAATTTAGCTCCAGAAACCTAAAAAAAATTCCAAATATTAGTCACAGTTATAGGCGATCAAAGTGTCATATTTCATCCAAATCCGTGTAAGCGTTTTTTAGTGAAGAGAGGTCTCGCATAGTGCAGGTTTTTGATTTCATCAAATTTCAAATCACCATTTAAATTAATTTTTTAACTACATAAACGTGCATTTAATAACGCCAAGTAGTTTTTAGTAAATTTTAAAAAGTTTTCCGACCTGTTGTAGTTAACTGTAATGCGAAAAAATCAACTTTTACATCCTGAGCAGCCCTTCTCTTAGCATTCAAAGGAAATTGACAACCATGCCGATGATTAATTTTCACCTATAACTTGTAAATTTTCAGTTATATGCCGTTAAGCGAGAATTCAAACAAGATGGCGGAATTTACAGACAAATACAAGTTTTTGAGAATTTGTTTGATTTCATAGATAGCTCCCAATCCACCAGTTTGATTGAAAAAAATTGTAACCATAACAGCAGGAAATAACAATTTACTGAACTAAATGTAACAGGTCAAAATTAGTTTAAATTAGTATTATTTTGATATACCAGGAAACATTTTTTGCATGTATTATTTGTGGGAATCTAATCGCAGTAATAAACATTGAATATGCGGAAACCTTGGCCCGTTGTTTTTTTCCATTCTAAGAAACAAAATTTTACACTACAGTTAGTTGCAGCTTTTTTGACAGGTATCCCATTGAAAATTATGTCGAAAAGCTGCATTTAACTTTAGAGTCGACCTAATGTTGACTATAACTAGGGGACTTTGTTTCCCAGATGTGTTTCTAAGANCATTGAAAATTATGTCGAAAATCTGCAATTAACTTTAGAGTCGACTTAATGTTGACTATAACTAGGGGACTTTGTTTCCCAAATCCGAGTCTAAGTATGGGAAAATACTGACTACATGTTAATAAGTTTGTTAAGGAGCCGAGTTTCGCTTTTATAGATGTACNTGGGAAAATACTGACTACATGTTAATAAGTTTGTTAAGGGGCCGAGTTTCGCTTTTATAGAGGTACTGTGTAAAAATGTCCGCTCTTTTCGGTGGATACATTTGGATACAATTTTCGATTTTTTATGGATACCATAAAGGCTAAGGCGGTGGCAACGCTGAATATGCTCCTTTTGAACTTTGACTACTAGATTAAAACACTGTATAGGTTAAGCACTCGTTCAATGTTCTAATAATTTACAAAAATTTTAAGCAATAAAAACGATGGCTTAAGCTTATCTTAGTTTTATTAATTATATGTAATTAAAATTAAAATTAATAAGACTTTAGAGTACAAGCTGCCAGGGCTTTCGGCTCGACTTAAGTTGATTATTCGTGATATTCTCATTCGCACATTCGTATTCCGAAAATTCGCGTTCGGATTCGCTATCGCGAATGTGAAAAATATGACATTCGAAACCTCTCTAGTATGTACATACATATGTATTATGTTTAAAATTTTCGATTCACACGAAAACAAGAATACAACTAGTTACTTCCGTATTCAATAACTTTTATTTATTATTTAGTAGTAAATTGTAATCAATTATTAAAAATGTCAGTACTTTAAATAAAATTGTACACATTAAACTTACAAACTACATATTTTTATTTCATTTCAGACTATCTCAATTAAAAAACACCAATTACTGTTCGATAAACCTAATATTTTAATCATTCGGTAAATTTCATAAGTATTTGAAACATAAAATCTAAAACAAGAAATAGAACTGTTTTAAAGAAACTCCAATGCCGTGATATTAGAGATATTTTCGATTTTTACAATTATATACACTATACACAATTTATTGGAAACTATATTCGTCCAAAATTTATTAGTAGTTATACATTATACAATTCGAAATTACGGACTTTTGTACAAAGAATAAAAATCTTATAATAAGGAAATAACGTAGTAATTAGCCTGATAAATTATAAATACAAAAAAATCCGTCGTAAGTAAAGTGCCTCCAAATTCTACACAACAAATAAAAACTAATAATATTTATGAACAAAAATAAGTGCTTTATATTAGTAAACAAAAGAAAATAATAATACGAGCGAGTTTTAAATCAACGGTCTAATATCGTAAAACAGTAATATCGTTTATTCGAGACATACACCAGCACTGCCCTGCCGTTAGCATCGAATCGGTAAATACACAAAGCGAACTGCCTTGCCGACAGCGCTTGCCTACATTCACACGCGGGCCACACAAACACACGCTGGCACTGGCGGAAGTGTGCAGTGGCTCTGCCTTATCGGCGATGCCATTTATTGATGACGCGCTGCTTTGGTGTCCGGATAATGATGGTCGTATGGTTGGTGGCTTAGATATCGCGCCGTGCATGCAAGTAAGTACAAATGTATTTAAGTTTAGAGTAGCCTAAAAGCTGGCAATGCATTTGTGCTCATTTCGGATGTCGGTAACATAGCTCATAATTGTTGATAATTTTATTTTTATTTGTTTCCGCTTCCACTGTTCAAGGAGGAAGCCACCACCGACAACAACAATGAAAATGTAAACGAAACGTCGCAATTGGATGAACCAAATACGGAACTAAACTCCTTGGAACCGCTTTGCACTGAATCGTCCGATGAACTATTTCGACAATTGTCTGAAAGCAATTTCGAGATCGAAAGTTTGCTATCGGATTTGGCAACAGTTGAGGTTAAAGTAAATAGCAATTTTAGTCAATCGAATTTGAAATCAGCTAAAAGTACCATTTTCCCCAATCCCCCTTTTGTTTTACCTTTTCTTCATCTCTTTGCAAATATTCTTAAGGAGGAGAACAATAACAATATCGGCGAACAAGTGGTGGGCATAGCAGCTAGCGACAGCTTCGTGCCATTGGAGGCTACCGCTGTCGTTGCTACCGGCGTACTTAGTCCAGCGTGTGCGAATACCAATGGATCAGCAGGTGGTGGAGACGTTGGCATAACGATAGAAGGCGCTGCCGAGTCTACTTTACTAGGGCTAACCGCACACTGCGAATCGCTAACTGCGAAACCAATAAACCAAAGTCAAAAGCCAACAGCAAGTTTAAATATTGTGCGAGAGGAAGCGTTAAGAGCCACCACTAATTCCTATATAAGCAGCAGCAGCAGCAGCAATGATAGTGTGGCGCTTGTGCATGCGCATGAAGCAAATGCACGACGCTTTTTGATCGCCTCCAACCCGCTACTCGCCGAAAAGTTACTCGCCAAAAGTATACTCAGCACTGATAATAGCAACAGTGCGACAGTGAAGACACCAGATTTCAGTGGTAAGTAGGCAACAAAAATTTGATTGATTTAAGAGAAATACGTACATAGCTATTTATTTTGAACGTTTTCATGGCTTATTTTGCATCCTTGCGGATAGGCGAGCTTAAAAGGCATATTACTGAAGCTAAAAAAAATTTTTTTTTTCAAGTGAAAAGATTGGGTAACCTTATTAGTCTTCCTCTACCGATTCCCCTTAAGGGAACCAGGACATGATACCAACCCCTTGAATTAAAATTTAACAACCGAAATTTTCTCTATAAAAAAACCGCAGTTTCTTATGCAAAGAAATTATTTTTCCTATCGTTATCGGCAGAGCATTTTAGTGTCAATATATTCAAATAACACAACGAGAAAATCAACGTCCGAAAACTTATTATGGAATAGTTTAATAACCAAGTCACTGATACTTTTTCGTGCCTTAACCCTCCTCGGGCTGCGCCATAATGAACTTTCCTGGAGCGAAGACTCCTCTCTCCGGAAGTTTATTTTAAATAACCTGCAAGAATTATTATTTTTAATTACATGAGTCCTGTTTAACGAATTTATTCAAACACAGGGAATTAATTCCAAAAACCAATATTTGCTTTGGCCCAAAAACCTTTGGAATCTTTTCATATAAATTTAATTTACATATGATTTACCGTTACTTTGTCATTTGCTGTTTAAAATTGGATTTATGCTCACTTTACTATCAAAGTATAATCATTTAGCTTCTGAAATAGATTCCAGTGAGAGTTAAATTATAAAAGCCAAATAACCAAAGTTATATTCAATAGATTCGATCCAAAATTTAATAGTAAATGCGAAAAAGTGCAGGTTTTTGTTATGTACTCTCTGCGACTATGAAAAGAAAACCAATCGTGGTTCAGAAGTGAAAATGAAAAGGCGGCCTTAAGACAGCCTTGCCTGCTTATGTCAAAACTTGCCTTTAGCCAACTTTTGTCTTTCTCGCCATTTTTTTCAGTTCCTTATTATACACATTATGGTTTTTTATTATTTTTCATAGAACCGAAATCCAATAAATATGGTTTAAGAACAAAAAAGCTTTGATTCTCTGATTCTACTGGGATACAACAGCTTAAACTAAGGGATTTAATACATATAGATAAATATACCGTTGAGTTTTTCATCGAAGATGAGCACAATTATTCAGATATGATCTCTGATGTAATATATCTTGAAGGGGTGGATGGACCTTGGTGTGAATTGGGGAAAATTATGCAAAGGACTCAAAACAGGGTTTAGTGCAAAGTTTTTACGCTATTGAGGTGCAAAGATATGTTTTCACGATTATCACTCTAAAAATTAATAATGCTTTCGTCAATCCCTATTGAAATACATATATGTCTTTTAATGAAAGTCAAAGCCAAAAATATCAAACACTTTCCGTTTTTATTTACACCCTAACCAGGGGCAACGGAAGCTCAAAGTTAAATTAACTTGAAATTAGCAAATTCTTATTTCCAAGGCTTTGTTTAACTAAACAACAAAAATATTTCACCACTTTTTACAATTTTTGATTTTTGCCAGTTTGAGGGATATGCTTGAAATTCATGCATATAAAAATCGCCAGGCAAAGTAAGGCTTGCTCGTGAAGACAAATATTAATTTTTTATGCTAATCTATAAAGAAACCTGCCCTTTATGAAACTTCGACCTCGTTAAAAGGAGAAGAGTTAATTCAGTAAAAAAAAATTCAGGAGCTAAAAGCTCTTTCAAAAGGGCTTCCTAAGAGGCAAGAGACCTTCCACTCTGCATTCCTTCCTCTTTTTTTTTGAATGCAGTGGCACAAATTGAATGCCTTCAGCTTTCGCTACCCGTAGAAAGGCTTCTTCGAAACCTGCTTCTTTAATTCATAAAAATCATGCATCCTTAAAGTATTTATTTCAGGTTTATATAAAATATTTTAGTGCAAGTTAAAGTACATATTGAAGTTCATTTGTAAGACATGAGAAAAACTTTTTTCAGCCCTTCTTGGAAAAGCCTTTTAGAATGGCTTCGTTTAAGAAGGCTTTCTTCTGGGAAAGATAAATGATATATGTATGTATTCTGAAAACCATTTTTTTTTGCATTTTATGTAGTATTCTTTGTTTTGTTTAGAGCACATAACGGCGTTAAAAATTACAGTAGTACTAATGTAAGGCCATAAAACAGAACAGCAGATAAAGTAGAATAGATTCTCGAAAGAAGTAAGAAAATATCAGAAAATGATTGAATACAATCAATGGCGGGAATTTGTTCGAAAATATATCATACTCCTTACCCGTCGGAAGAACCAACAACCCAAAAAGAAAACTGAATTATTCAAAACGACAAATTAAAAAAGGGGTGCATTCCAAAATGTCAAAACACAAAGCATCAGCATAAACTTAGCTTACCTCAACCCGCTTCAACTTCAATCCCTTCAATGCACCTGAACTCAGCTCAACCCAACTCAACTCATCTCAATTCGCCTTAAATCACATTAACTCACTTCACCTCAACTCAACTTACCTCACTGCAACTCACAACAACTCAGCTCAGCGAATTTATCGCCGAAATAGTCCGAAAAGCCCGAAATTGTCCCAAAAATCTTGAAGTAGGCTCAAAAATACCGAAAATCCCAAATACTGAAAATCCCAAAGCTGCGCCGAAATTCCCGAAATGTGCCGACAATCCAGGAAAACCAAAAAAATTCGAGTTAGTCCAGAAAATCCTGAAACAGTCCTTCCAGGGGTCATGATCCAAAAAATATTTATTTTTTAGTTAGTTTTGCAGAAATGACTGTCACCTCTTCTTCTTCTATGATGTGTAGAAATTGCAAAATCGTATACTTTTATAATTTATTTTAATTATCGAGAGTCCTGATAACTAGTAGCATTAAATAACCAATCTAAGCTCTTCCTTGTGTTAAAGCCACTGTGTAAAAGTATATCAGATGGTGATACGGGACGTATGAGTGACATTTAACACAATTATCTGATCTGATCAAGAAAATTCCGAATATCTACATATGTAGCGGACTTTTACATATGCGTAACCTGAAGCTGAATTTCCTTGAACGGTGTTATAACGGTGTTTTTGATGACAACAAAACAGCTGAGTAAATATTTTACATTAGTTCTTCTTGTTTTACATTAGTTATTTAAATTAATTTCCAGGATATGGTGCCCGACATAATGATAAGTTTTGACTCTTTATAAAAATCCTTATAAATTCATGTATCAAACTTTGGTACAAAAATTTTGGAAAACCGACTTAATTTTATAAAAATTTTACACTTTTTATTCAGAATTTTTAAACGAGTTTCTTTCCTGACAGTGTAACTCATTTCCTTCCAACAATATTTTATATGAAGAAAACACACAACACCGTCCACAGAAATATTGCAAAAAATCAAAGAAAGTTTGCAGTCACTTCAAACTTACACGTTATTATTCCAGAATTGTGTGGGCTACAAAACTGCATATCCAACAATTTTATAAAGGTTCAGAAAAAGCGTTGACGAGACTTTGTTGTTTTTTTTTAATTGTTTAAATAAAATTTGTTGAAGAAATAGTCAAAACTTATCAATATCCGAATGAGCTCATTGTTATGTCGGGCACTATGTATCGTGGAGAATGAGACCACAAGGAAATCAAAATAGCCGGGAGAGATAGCTGTTAAGTCAGTGGCACCACCCCGAATGGAGTTGTGCTAGGGTGCACCTGGTATCTGGGGCGAATCATTTCGAAGCAGGGCGTTGTTGGGATGATTTCTACGGTGACATCCCACGAGGAACTGCTTCGATAGCAACGTGTTGTGCTTAGGGATGCAAATTTTGGGGAGTAACATCGATACATCGATGTTTCGATGCATCGGAAAAATGAACATCGATGCTAAAACACATCGCCAGAAATACATCGATATATCGATGGTTTCCGATGTTTCGAAATTTGTTATTAAAATTTAATACTTTTCAATTCCCACTCTCTGTAATTCAATTATTGCCTTTATTTATTTACCATTCCTTCCCTATAAATAGAATAGAAATTCATGCCGTCGTAAGTTCGCTGGGCCTAAAGTTCCAAGGCCCAATTTCGTTGAAATTTCAACGGGATCCCGGTCCTTTTTTAATGACTAAGTATGCATTTTTAATATCGAAAGATAAGAGTAAACTCGAAATTTCTGGATGTTCCTTTTAAAAGAATAAATATTAAAATTCATGGCCAGTCAAAAAATTTTAGGATGTGGACGTGGATAGGAATTCGATGTTAAAACATCGCTGAAACCGGCATCGATGTATCGACAATTTAGCGATTTTAGGAAATTGTAAACATCGATGGCAAACATCGAATTTTTAACCAATATTATCGATGTTTCAAAAATATCGATGCATCGTTTGCATCCCTAGTTGTGCTCTTTCACCGCCAGCATCAGACTTTCTTTGTGGAGGTGATAACATGATATGGCAGCCTGTTTGTAGGATTCTCGTATCGCTGGTACCTGCCGACTACACTGGCGGAAACGTGATAGAAACGAATCTTTCAAATTTCTTGATTATAGCTCCACCTAGCAAGTAAATCTTTTGCATTTTTATTTCTTATCTAATGGGTAATATGTACACCGAATTTAAACCAAATCGGTCTTTAAATACGAATTTTCCAAATATCTCGACTCCAGAGGGCGCAAAGATTTCCCATAGAAAATACACATAAACCCTGAGTATTTTTCTTAAAAAGTCTACAGCTCAGAGACATTTTATGGTATAATCTTGGTCAATAATGGGTTTTCTTCGGAATTGAGTTCTCTACAAAAGTGTACATTCCGGTGTCATCCTAACTCCCACCAGCGAGGTAGTACGGGTCACCCAATTTTTTCATGAAATTCTCGTTTTTTACCCTTACCTCGAAAATAACAAGAGCTACATAAAAAGTATAAATGACAAACTTGTAGGACTTTCAATTTTCTATAGAAAAGTTTCAGAACACCAAATCACTAATATCAATATTTCTTGCGATAGTCGCAAAAAAAAATCACCC